TTTTGCTAAATTTTGTAAATAAATACACTTTCTAATAATTTTACAGTTTAATACTCTATAAAGCCGCATTTACAATTTTTGATATAATTCTTTCTTTAAAGCCACCCATATTTTTAGATCTCGATATTTTTTCATATTATTGTTAATACTCACAATTGCAATATTTAGTAATTGGCCAGGATATAATTGGTGGTTTGGCTAACATTACTTTTGTAGAAAAAAAACTGACCACAAAACTAGAAAAAAATTTAACTATTATTGCTAACAAACGCATTATGAGGGAGCAATAGGTATTCTAGCACACTTAAGAGTTACACATAAAAATTCTTAGAAAGTGTATTTATTTACAAAATTTAGCAAAATAAATAACATTTGATTTACTATCGAATGTTAAAAAAAAACTTCAAAATTTAAACTTCTAAAATATATTTAAAAACTGATGTTTTTTCAATAATTTACACCCATATCGAATATTTTGTATGTAGTGCTTAGTTGCATAGTTTCTTATTCGCTGCACAAAACAGGTTAATAAATTTTGTGGACATCTAGTTGTACATACGTATATGACTTATTAACCAATCACAAATAAGAATTTCACGTGATCACGTGATAATCGGAAAGTTTCGTTACGAGGGGGTACGAATATTAAATGTGGGGGGTACGAAAATTGGCCCCCTATAATTAATTAAAAAATAAAAATTTAAATAAAATTTATTACAAATTAATTAATATTATTATATATTAATATTATTATTTTTTTATATACTGTATATTTAGAACTAAAAATTATATTACTTAATAAATTCTTTAATGTTCTATAGAATAGGTGGGCAATATAAAATAAGCTTCGCCGATAATTAGTAATCATTGATTTTTAATATATTCACGTGATATTTGGCGGAGTTTGGCGGAGTTCACACCTATTCTATATAACACCATAGTATTTTAAGCACTTCTTGTTCTAAATATTAAGAATGTTTTATATTATATATATTATAAATACAGGTCGAATAATAGTAAATTGGGTACAAAATCAGGTATCTGATTTTAAGCCTCCGATTGATGTCAATTTTTGTTGATATCAAAAGGATAGTAATCAGCTTAAATTAGACACCCGATTTTCCATCATTCGACCTGTGAAATTTTTAATAATTAATAATAAAAATAAAAAAATTATACTTTTTTAAATATTTTTTTTTTTGAAACTTATTTTTAATATTTCTATAAAATTAAATATTTTATTTAGATTTAGGACTAATCTAATTGTAACAACCTGTTATATATCTTATTAGTAACATCTTCATTGTTAAACCTAAATTTGATTGGTCAATACAAAGTTGTTATACTACAAGTTGTTACAAATAGATTTTTTCTTAAATTTATATAAATTTAAAAGTCAAAAATACAAGAAAATTTTTGTTGTATTTAAAAGCTTTAAGCTTTGTATAATATATGTATAATTTATTTTATATATATATATATATCGTTGAAAAACAGCAACTTTTTGTTGTATATTAAATCAAATACACTAAATTTATTGCAATATCGTTTTGAATGTAAAATACAATATATTATTAATAATCATTGTATCAATCCTACTACTGTACTATCATAGTAAAGCTTGAAATATGCTGCGATATAGATTATCAGTGGCAAATTGTAAACTTGCCTATAGCGTAAAAATAATTGATAATTGTATAAATAAAATTTATAATAAAAAATTATACTGTATCATACAATTTAATGGTCATCAAAGCTCGTGATGCTCGTGATGATGAGTTTTTTCGTGTAATTCAATTAGATAAATATAAAGTTCTTCACATGAAACCGCCGTATCTAATTCTTCCTACATAATAACAAAAGGTTGTTAGTACATATATGTAATGATTAACAATAAATTATACAAAGAGTTTCACGAAATGACCCAGAATGCCCAGGAACACGGAGAAATCAAATGCTCTAGAATGACCAGAAATTACATAGTGCTTGTAATTAAAATTCATAGCATATGACAAAAGTATCATCGATTTATTTATTTTGCAGTTCAATTTCGATCTTTGACATTTGACTTTTTAAATTTTTGGCAAAGTTTTATTGAATCAAAATTGCAGTCAACTTCGGTAAAGCTAAGACCTCTTTCTGCAGACAACATCGTAATTATCGGTCATTTTAGAGTATTCAACCTTTCATGGACGTCTGAAACATCACATATAATTCTGGGATTATGTACTTCAAAGAATTTAATAAACGGCAAATCTCCAAACAAATCTTTTAAATCAATAGTTTCAAATAGAGCGATCCAATCTGATGGCGGAAGTAAACATATGCCACTTGAAACGTAACACTTCGCGTGAGAATTTAATGCTTTGTCTTTTATGTCTGAACAAGTACTTGAATCATTTTTATGCAGTGGAACTAATGATTCCTGAAGGCAAAGTTTTGTTTTAGATACCCTAAAGTTTTTTTTTTAAAAAAAAAAAAGAAAATTCATTTATTAGTTTCCAACGGTGTTTCAATCAAATCTCTTAAGTGTAATGTGCACTTAAGAAAGTGATACATTCAGAGAGATGAGTTCTATTAGATTGGGCAAGCAAAGGATTACATTTACAAAGGTTCATAATAGAACATGAGTTTATCTTGCAGCGCTTGCTACAGTGCCCGATAAAGTACTTTCGACTGTTTCCCCAAATCTATTGTGATCTATCTATCGCAAGTTTCCTAAGTTTCCTAATATAGATCTCTGATATTATCCAAGTTTAAATAAGGCAAGAAGATACTGCAATAAATAGGTCACGTTTATGCAATGTTTGTACATACCAATCCTTTCCAGAAGAACTGAACTTATGTGCGTTATCAGAAAATTTTTCGCAATACTTGAGTCCATATTCTAATGGATATCCTTTATACCCGCAATGAAATTTCTTTTCTAAACAATCCGTATAAAAATTACAGGAGTTTGGTACGGGCATACTACAGTTTACAGTGAGAGAATCCACTGCATATACGGGAAATTGGGTCAAAAAAATCCCAACTATGATTGAAATAAATTTTACAATCATTTTTTACTAAAAAAAAAAAACTTTAAACTCTTTTTTATAATTATTCAGGCGCGTAATAACTTCATGTTATACGATCAGCTCAATTATAGAATAATTGAATTTGTATACACATCCTAATTAGGTATGTCATGAATTTTCAATAGCTAGAATACTTTTCCAACTAGGAATGGATGGTACGTACGTACCACGTATCATTACATCATCTAATCTAACGTAACCAAGACTAAACGATGCCCGGCCATCCAAATTAAATTTGATATGCCAAGAAGGATATTTTAAATGTCCAACGCAACACCAATTCGACTCTCGACAAGTAATTACTAGTAAAGGGTATTGTTTGTAGCATATATATAATGATAAGACTATAACTAAATACAGTAAATACAATAAAAACCAATTTTGATGAATGCGTTACTTTAGACTTCTGCACCGTCCCTAGTACAATCACAGAGCGTACAACAGTTTAAGCAATTCGTAGTTGACTATCATGTAATCAAAAAAAATTGGGCGTTTATATTTAATTGTTGCAACCTATCATAAATATTCAGCTACTAAACCTGTTCTACGTAGCAGATAATTAATCGTATTTAATTAATAAAAATACTACGTATCGAAGCGTTATTCTTAACAAACATTTTGCAATATTATCGGCATGTTGCCCATTCTCTTTCGATAATTTAGATACATACTAAAAAAAAAATATATTTTTAAACAACCTCAATTATGATTCCAATAAATGAAGGCCCGTGTTCTGTAAAAAATTGAGCTGAAACCCAAATTAGCAGATGAAAAAAGGAACATATGCATCTTATGATTATTTGACAATTGGACAAGTGTGTCATATACGCATTATTGAACCTGATAGGAGTAAAACAGTAGGAGCTTCTAGTTCAATAATGTGCATTGACCTGATAGAAATCAACTTCAAATTTGGTTGAAATAGACGAAGATAATACTGCCTGAGGTAACAAATATAATACAGTAATAACGGGAGATTAAGAGTATCCGCTTTACCCAACAGCTAACATAATGTTCATCGACGATATAAGCATTTTCAACCAATCAAAATTAATCACAGGTCGCATTTTTTTAATATTGTTGTTTATATCCATTATTTATCATCCTTGTGGTGAAATTCTTGGTGGAAATATCTACAAGAATATCCAAATGTAAATAAATTATTTACTTATCGTGATCAAGTAAAAAGAAACAATGAACATTTAAAACAATTAGAAGAAAATTCAAATAAGAAAATAAGAACATAATATTTTATTTAAATGATAAGATTTTCTATATTTTTATTATGATAAACGATTTTATTTTTATACAACAAACTGGTCTTGAAATATATTCGTACAAACAAACAAACAATTAAACAAAGAATGTCTAATATAACTTTAAACAAAGAATTATATGATGCTCAATTTGATTTAAGGGAAGAAAGAAGAAAATGAAAAGAAGAAAATGAACAATATCAAGCTAAGATTCAAGATCTTCAAAGAAAACTTAACGAAATAGAAGAGGCTGCTTATCAATCAGTTTATCAACTTCAAGAAGTGATTAAAGAAAAAGATGAACTTATTGAACATACTATTAGACAATATGAATTTAAATGCAATTTTATGCAGATTTTTTTGGACAAAGTTTTATCGATATTATTATTATTTGACTCAACCTATTGAAATAATTAATGATTTTACCAATGAAACATATTGTTTCAAAAAAATATTTTAAATGAAGCTAATTAGAGATTTTACCCGTCAAGAAACTCGCTACCTTCTACCCGGATACAATCACAAAACTACTATAAAGAAAGATATTGAAAATGAGTTTATTCAATTTATATGACAAAAGAAAATAACAAATTAAAGAAATTAATAGAATTCAATAAAAAAAAAATTCCAATAATTTAATAACACAAAATAATGAAACTTCAATAATTCAAATACCAAACTCTGTTCAAATTGAAGATTTTAATGAAAATGATTATATAACAGAAGAAAAAATCGAAAAAATTATTGAAACTGAACAAGTTTTATCACCAATTCAAAATAATAAAAGAAAATCCGAAAACAGTAAAAATAAAAGAGTTGTTAAAAAATAAAAAATCAATTTAATTACTTTAGATACTAAAAATAGTATTATTGATTTAAATATTCAAGATGTAATTAGTATTATTAATTTAAATATTCATGAAATTAGTATTATTAATTTAAATATTCAAGATGAAATTAGTATTATTGATTTAAATATTCAAGATGAAATTAGTATTATTGATTTAAATATTCAAGATAAAATTAGTATTATTGATTTAAATATTCAAGATGAAATTAGTATTATTGATTTAAATATTCAAGATAAAATTAGTTTACATGTTGTAAAAAAATATACTTTGAATTTAATTAATTTATTTGTTTTGTTTTAAATAAAATATATTTAACTACTAGCTCTCAGAGCCTGGGTGTTGCACTGGGCAGTGTTGAAAATCTGGTTTGAAATTTATATTTTTATAAAAACATATTTACTTAATTTAATATTCTTAAAAATTTTTTTATGTTCTCAAATAAAAAAAATTTTTTCTCTCTTTCTCTAGCTAAATATTGGATTACTTTTATCATTCTTTAGTTAATCCAAATCTGAAATATTCACTTCTTGCAGAAAAGCATTTACTTTAAAAATCATAAGCTTTGGTTACCACTATATTTACTAGAAACAGAGTAATATATAATATTACAAGTGTATAGTTTATAGACATTTATTTATAGATATTTTTAGTGCTGTATATCTTCAAAATCTCATAATTGATTGGACAATACATTAATCATTATAAAAATATACATTTTTTTTGTTCTTCAAAATTGAACCAACCAAATATAAATTATCACCAACTGTATTTCAAATAGCCTTTAGAGATTAATAGCTTATCTAAAGCTGGTTTTAGCTATATAATAAAGCCAAGCCAACTAAAACAAATTAGCTGTAGCTTAAGCTATAACTTGGAGTTGCAGTTTTGACTATGGTTCAGCATCAACTGCAACTGAATAGCTTTTTAAAATTACTATAATTATTGAAGCTAAAACTTGTATCATAACTACTAGAGTATAAGCCATGGCTCAAGCTGTGGTAAATAATACTGATATAGCATTGCATTAAATTTTATTATATAGCTACAGTAATAATTATTTTAGAGCAATATAAAATTTAAAGAAGCCATACAAGTGTTAACAGATCTAAAAAATCTTTAATAGGCTAAAATTGGTCTACAAAACTTTGTTATATAATATTGGGTTTTCATATAATATTTCAATTAAGTATTTTCAGAACTTTTTCATATTTAATTAATTAAATATTATCAATTAATATATTAATTAATTTCTTATTTAGATTTTTATTTATATTGATTTAAGGTTCTCTCAGGCTTAAAAATCAATAAATCAGAGCTCAATTTTAATTAGTGAAAATTGGTTTAATAGTAAGTAGGCTTATTATTATGATGAAAAAAGTTTAATTAGCTAAAATGTATTTCTTGATATAAACTTTAGCAAAATTATAATAAAAATCACTTCAATTAATCATAGTACTTATATCTGAATTTGGTAGTTAGTCATATAAGAGCATTCTTAGTCTCTAAGTTTAGCAATTATTTATTAGTCTAATTGGTTTAAATATTTAATATGAACAGATTACTTTTTGTCTTCTTATTCATATTAGTCTGTATAATTATTATCTGTCAAAAATATTTTTAAATTATGCAAACTAGTATGATCAGATATATAATAGTGAAATATTCCTATTTTTAATATTTGTTCTAATATTATGTATAGTATTAAAAAATTATAGTGAATTGATATAAGTTTTTTAAAGAGGTATTTTATACCTTATACTATATATATCTTGAAATCTTAAGAAATTTCTTGTTATAGTATCTTATATCAATATAGTATGCTGTATTTGGTTATTTATGTATTTCAAAACTATTTATAACTATTCTGTATTGGGGTTGTCCAAAATTTTTTAAATTAAGTCTATATTCATCTGTTTTTGGTTTAGTGTGACAATATCATGCAGCTACTTATATTAATAAAAATAGTTTTTTTATTACTTTATATAATTATATAAAGAACATATTTTTTAAATCAATATTCTTAAAAAAATTTTATAGAGAATATCTTAAATTTTGTAAATGTTTTCAAATTAAAAGTGATGTTTTTGATCAACTCTTTTTAATAATCACTTGAACCAAAATTTCTTATAAAAGAAAAATCAAGTTTGGATACTAAAAAGTAAAAAAGACCTGTAGTAGGTGGATAACAACCTGATTTTTATAAAAGTCAACCTTCTGTCTTTTATGGTAACTCCTTTATATATTTGATATGCAAGTTGAAAGTATCTTTATACAAGATAACTAGCTGAAATATATGCTTTTGTATATAAAATTTTGGTGAAAAATATGGGTTTCTTCTATCAATGAAGTATTTTGTTACTAAAAAACTAAAAAACAGTAAAGAACTTGCTATTCTTAAGCTATATTCTTTTATTTGGCCAAGTAGCTCCTCTCTTATTTACTTCTGCTTTCTTGCTAGTCTTTCAAAATTTTTACAAAAAGTGAAAGATTTGAGTTACCCCCTTTAAAAGATCAGCAATATTTATCTACCAAATCTGGACAGTCTAGTAGATTGCAACTATGTGTTTGCTTATGAATAGATATAAAGCTACTTTATAGTATTTGGCTTAGAATCTCTAATTACTAGTACCCTAGCTATGGCAAAAAAAAGTGTTAAGTATATAAAATTCTACTTGAACTATTATACTCTAATTGGGTAAAATTAATGATCCTTAATAACAGTATTATATATTTTTTTTCAAACTTTAAATGAATATATCTCACTAACTACATATTTAAAATTAAT